ATATGTGAAAGAGTTCACTTTGCACGTATCCCCATGTAGCAATGTAAAGCTGCTTTGATTTAAGAGAAGAATCTTATCAGAGTGTTTCGAAACACAGGTCCGTGACCTCGAGGCAGAACTTGACACCGAGCAGAGGCGCCACCAGGAGACACTGAAGAACCTGAGGAAGAACGAGCGCCGTCTCAAGGAGCTGAGCTTCCAGGCCGACGAGGACCGCAAGAAGGAGGAGCGCATGCAGGAGATGGTCGAGAAGCTGCAACTGAAGATCAAGTCTTACAAGAGACAAGTGGAGGAGGCTGTATGTAATGCCTTATGTTCTATAATTTGAACCAGCATTTTTTAATACCACAAAAGACCTAGAGATAGTGGAACTGGTTTGAACCTTCATTTTGAGAAAATATAAAGATATCGATGGTATTTATCATTTGGTTCTTACTTAACTGTAATAAATATTTATCTGTAAATTTACAGGAGGAACAAGCCAACGTTAACCTGGCCAAGTGGCGCAAGACCCAGCACGATCTGGAGGATGCCCAGGAGAGGGCCGAGATGGCCGAGTCCGCCCTGGGCAAGATGCGCGCCCAGCACCGCGCTGCCGTAAGTCACTAGCTAGAAACTCTAAAATATAATACTGATTCATGTTTAAAATGTGAGAAATTACGAAAAGAAACGGTTGCCTTGACAGTGGGCAGTTTCGTCACTTTGTAACCGACTTTTTCTTCTTTTTTTTCCAGCACAAGTAGAAGCCCGGTCTCCGTCAGCTGTAAACCATGGTAGCATAAGTAACCGACTGCGTACACGGCTTAATAGAAAATCCAGTATTACAGTAACTGCTCTGTGTGATCCGTTCACTTTACCAGCGATGTACCACATCTGGGGGCCCCAACGCACGCACTCTTGTTACTGACACAGCACCTAGACGGGAGTATCGCTGGGGGAGGTATTGAACCGATCGCTACAGTTTATTGTAATCTATCATATGGTTTGCTTACTTACATCTACAGAACAACTTTGTCTTGCACAACATTACCTACCCGTTCTTGTATATCGTCTTCGCCTGTGAAGCATCTAAACGTTAAGTGACCGATCTGTATTATTAGACAGTTGATTACACGTTTATGTCTGTTTATGATATGTCTATGTATAGCTCATGAATAAAGTAAAAAACATCGGAACTATCTTCCAAAAAACTACACGGACTTGGGACTGGTGACAGGAAGAGCCTAGCAGCCCTACATTCAACGTCAACCTGATTCACCGTGGTGCAATTCTGGAAGATAATGGTGTATATGTACGTGTATCTCTTCCGGGACCACTAAGTAGTCTTAGAGATGCGTTTGGGAAATGTATGGTTTGTGACGTGTATGGTTGCTTCGTTGCACTTGATACTGATTAAACTTCTTTGAAGAAATCTATGACTCAGATTCATCCTTGTTTCCAATATCAGCACATATCTTAATATTTAAGCATAGATGATTTTGAGCACCTTACGTGTAAGATATTATATTCAGGTATTAGTAAGTATTGTCCTGGTGAACTCGTATCACTATCAGAAGTAGATTACAACGTAGGCGAGCTATCCATAAATATTCTGCTATAGATAGCTATTGCATTTGGCAACTAATGCCGATGAAAGAGTCATTGCAAGATTTTAACAATACATACAATGAGCAAGGCCACTTCATTCGAACATCACGCTAAATAAGGGTCTAAACAGAAGGAAGACTAAACTAAACTAACAAAAAGAACCGTGACAATAAGACCAACAAAGAAGAAAGGACTTGGAGGAGGACTATACGACAGCCTACTAGGCATACTCTAAATTACGCTAGATACCTGTTAAACTGCCTGTACTTTTGTAGCTTAAAATGGATCCGGACAAAAGCATTCTACCTTGTTAATATACAAGAAAATAATCATTTACTACCCCCAGATCCACACTAAAAACTGGTAATAATATATAAGTATAAAAATTCATGCCAAATGAACTGAGGAGTTCTTATTATGGCCTATCATCGATCAAAGAAAAGCGTGTAACTCTAACAAATGATTCTACCGGCTCATAACCAACATAACCCCTGCCTCGTATAGTATAGTAGTACAAGCTATCTCGTAATCACTTAATATGTTGGAGAATCTGTATTTATTCACTGAAACCTGTAGTGAAACGTACGCCAATTTACATATTCCTCAGGGCTATCATTAAAACGACTTATCATAATAAAACTGCAACAAACGACACAGAAAGGGGATTAAAATATCTCCTAAACTGACACCACAATGTACCAATGCTAGGTATTCACCTCGCGCTTGGATAAACATGAACTCAGCCACATTCACATATGCTGTGGTATAGCAAGGAAAATAATAGTACTTGAACAGTCAGACATAACAGAATAATTTCCAACTGGTTGACGTAGAATCATGTAACAAGTAGGTTCAACTTTAAAGATAAAATTAATGAACATTTTACCAGATGAACGAGGCACCTACAACACACATAAGTTTAACATCATGTATCATTGCAACGAAATTGAGTACATACCTCCAGCTTGAAGAGTGATGTCCCTTGAACATTGTCACCGTGTCTTCGTGTATGTTGAAATCAGCGCAGTCAACCTGGGAGTGAAGAACGTCAAATTAAACATTTAAAAAAGGCAGGCCCTTCATGGTCAACGAATGGAACAAATCTATTAGAAGAAGTCTTCATCAGCAAATGTCTTCACAGCTATCGAGTTACCTCTCCACATTTTTAGGACAGCCGGAATGCTGACCGGTATTGACGAGCGCATCTGTGACAACGGGATTACTTGAACTTGAAACTTGAATTTCTAACACCGAATCGTCAGCTTACTGAATATCAGCTTGTGATAATTGCCTTGTAGCTAGTTGCCGAACACGTAGCTAGTAGCATATCACTTTCAACAACTTTGAACCAATGAATGATTCTGAGATTAAAAGAAAGCTCATATCGGGAGGAATACACTGGACAAATAGATAATCTTAAACCTATATTGTTAAGAACAAAGCAACATTATTCAAAGAATATCACAGTGTTAGTTATCATGGCGGCGATTTAGATATAGCAATGGTCAACTGCTACTATTGTAAAACCACTAACAGGTGCTGCAAAGATCTTCCCATGTGTCGTGCCAAAGTCGTATCTTTATAGACAGTTTAACAGGTTCGCTACATCATAAACTGTGTCTCTGTGCTAAAGCATAGCGACACCATTTTGAGATGCTGAAGAATTTGACAGCTAAATTTGGTCCACGTATGGCATATATGTGTTTCCCGTCAGTCATCTACAGTCAGACCATCACATACCAGCCTCCACCAATCACAACGCGTTTCTCTATTTTAAGCGGCTGTCTTTGAAGAATTTAAGATGACAGATGATACAGTAATGATACTCATCATGAATACTTTCTCAATGACATTTAAAAGTAATTTTGTATGCATATGCTTTAAGCTAGTAGACGAGGATGCTTAAGAGCACGTCTTTTCAACTTTTCGTTACTGTTTGATTGTAACTAATACAACACAAATAGATCTTGGTAAAACATCTATTTAGACATCCTTCCATCTCGATGCTGCTAATAGCATAACGTTATTCTTAACTCTGAAGCTAACGCTACTTTTAAATGAACAGAACAATACATACAACCTAAAATATGAAATATACGGAGTACGAAAGTTACTTTACTATGCTAAGCGCAAATTAAATGTGTCAAACATTATAAACTATCACTACTCGCGCATCCACAGACCTTAACAGAAAGCTATACATTTACCGTAGTACAAGCATCGATAATTGTCTCAGTACACTTTAAGTTTAAAATGATCGCTGAAACTACGGTACTTACCGAGACGTTTGCCAGTTGGGTATCTTGGGTCTGAGCAACGTTGACTTTGACTCCTCTTGGTAATACACACAAAAGTTCAAGTTCAAATGGGCTTCGGAGAGAAGATGAGCCGAACGAGCTCTATTCCGTGAGATACATGCGGGGGTTTGGGGGACAGGAATGTGATGTATGTTTCTTGACCGAAAAATGCGATGAATGTTTTTCTAGCAGACTTGTATGTTTTTCTAGGCACCATTTTCTAAAAGTGGATGCATTTCTCTGGCGACTCGCCGTCTGACAGAGACTTGTCAGCTGCAGAAGTGATCAGCACACTTAACTCATCTGGAAACGTAGGAAGAAACATTTAGGTAGTGTGCTTCGACAAACTGTAGTTTAGCAATGTGCGTGTCCAAATGTAATACCTCTTTACTTTAGTGACAACTCAAAATCAATTTAACAACAACCGCTTTGTCTCTCTTTGCATCCTGTCGCTATATAGAAAATGTATACGTAACCATATCATGATTTTGACACAGCATAACCTAAACAGAGCACATTACTCCACGGAAAATGTGAATGCTCTCAGTGTGCCTTTTTGGCAATCATAGAAACAAAGGTCAAAAGTTTAAGACTTGTTCAGTCTTTTAACTGGACTACACAGGATGCACCTGTTCCTTTTCGTCATGCTCGGACTAAATCAATACACCAATGGCAATGGCTTTGCCGCACGCTCTCGATCAATCAGAGCTCGCGGATTTGAACATGAGCTGTGGACTTGCAGAATGGCATGAATGTGATTACCTTGACACTTCCCGCCGTTATAAAGGCTCCCGCCCCTCCGTGTCCACTCCGACAGCTTCTAACCGAAAGGTAGAGAGCACGTTATCTGCACTTTTGCTGTGGGTTGGCTTTTTAGAGTCGAGAGTAACGTTGTTTTTTTTTCTTATTGTGAAGAATAATCTTATGCATGCCGTTTAAATTTCCACTGAAAATGTAACATTTCCAGTTAACACTGCGGTTCCTAATGTAATTTGCATGGGAGAGGGAGAGACAGGTCAGGACTAGAGCCAGGAACGATTTTGCCAAAGATTTTCCTGGAATGGACACTTTCCGGAATTGAAGTTTTTTTTGTCTTCTCCCTGTCTATCTCTCCAGGGCCTAGAGCTGTAGCTCGTCGGACTCATCTTCTGTCTCTCCCGTTCAGCCCAGTCGGCGTGCCACTCCTTCCTGCAGGATCCTTAGCCAAGAGGAACCAGAGCCAAGATGCCGCCCAAGTCCGACAAGATCTCCGACGACCCTCGGGTCTACATCTTCGGTGACACCAAGTTGCTGATGGAGCTCCGCTCCGCGCCTTACGATCCCAAGAAGAACGTCTGGGCTCCCGATGATAAGGATGTCTTCATCGCTGTGGAGATCAAGGAAGAGAAGGGCGATAAGATCACGGTTCAGTTGCCAAAGGGACAAGTAAGTATATACTCGTGTTCCGCCCTATGTGAAATCCTGGCAATGATGCGTGTACATGTACTTCAACATAGACTTGGCCTAGATTAGAGACATTTGATGGTTGCATCATTGATCATCCAAAGTAACTCACAGGCATACAAAGGTGCTAAAAAGAAACAGCTTTATGACTAAAACCCCTTACTTTGTATGTGACAAAAGTGACTACTTGAAATCTGACATGCGAAAGTCAAGACAAAGGGGCCAAAGGGCAAGGCCACATGCCAGACATTCTCCCTGACCATATCATTTTCATTATTTCTGCTGAGGACCGAATTACTAGTAACCCCAAAATAGCGGGCCTAACCAAAGACCAAACGGGGCATTTGACGACACCTATAAAATCAAGGACAGTAATATGAATGCAAACTTGAATTTTTTTCCAATTTTAATTTTCAAACGTCTTGTCCACTTCTCCTGTGTGTATTAATGTATTTAACTATAAAACAGAAAGGAAAACAAAAACAGCAAAAAAAGGCTAAATGATACCCGTAACAATTGACAAGGAAGAAGACTATGTTGTATTCGGTGTAATATAGCTAGCTGCCGCCGCGCCGCGTGCCGGTTATACCGGCTATACAGATACAGATGCTTGCCAATAAGCTCTATTTAGTTTCCTTCCTAGTTGCTTCTCTGCTTTCTGGCTTTGTTGTAGAAAATACAGATATAGCTAACAACATTGGACTCTTTCTTTTATATTTTCTATAGACCAAGGAAGTTGCCAAGGACAAGATAGTGATGATGAACCCTCCCAAGTTCGTCTGCTGCGAGGACATGGCCAACATGACCTTCCTGAACGACGCCTCTGTGCTGGCGACCCTCAGGGACCGTTATGCTAATGGAATGATCTACGTAAGTGGTGACGTCAACTTCAGAGTTTTGAGCCATTTAAAGTACGAAAACGTTGAATGTCAATTGAGACCATTTTTGCCCAAAAGACAAAATCACATCAAAAAGACAAAACATGAGACAAAGATAAAGGGGCAAAAACTGTTGTCTAAATAATCCATTGCTACATTAAAGTTTAAAAAGATCCTTCTTTAACAAACACGTTTACTTAACGAATGAGCAGTTGGCATGGATTGACACCAGGCAGGCAGACGACAGGCAGACAGAGAAAAAGAAAAGAATGCGGCGGACATTCTGTGACAGGAATAACCTCTAGGGCATTCCAGTCATGACCTGATGGTGCCATCAGACACATGGCGCCACTCCATCAAGTTGGTCATGCACAACATCCAGGACAGAAATAGACCAGCTTTTTTCTGTGTAATCTGACACGACAGATATGAAAACAAACAAAACATGGCCTATTATTCGAAACAGTTTCATCTAATCTTACCACGTAGGAGCTTGTGCTCATTTTGTTCTTTGAGAGCCACTCTGATCTATTTGCCTTCACGGGAATTCTGTATGTTTTAGTCTGCGTCAACCCGAGATATCCCTCGAACTTTATACAAACAAGTTCAATAAATATTCTAAATACTGCCTCGTATGTCTAATACGTACTACCATTTGCTATTCACATCCGCGTAATGCTGTTGTTTCCTCTACTACTCCAGACCTACTCCGGGTTGTTCTGCGTCGTGATCAACCCCTTCAGGCGTCTTCCTCTCTACACGGAGGAGGTTGTGTCCATGTACCGTGGCAAGAGGCGTCAGGAAATGCCGCCTCACTTGTTCTCTGTGGCTGACAATGCCTACCAGAACATGCTGATCGGTATGTGCAACATATTGTATTCTTAAACATCATTATATGGAATTATATCAAATTACAATCCAACGCAAGTCCTTCATTTCTATCTTGTAATAAATCAAGCAAGAAGTGTGGCCTCTAAAGTATTCGTTTCTCTTCGCAGACAAGGTGAACCAGTCTATGTTTGATC